TGAACTCAGCAGTGAAGGGGAATGGAACATGTTTGTCACCACTTATCTACAAACCAAACAAACTCAGTTCTTAAAGTATGTGTTGATGTAAAACTGAGTTGTACAAACCAAAAGGCTCTAGTTCAGTCCTTTGTCTGTGCTCAGGTAGCTGATCTCACCTGGAACAATAGCAGAAGGAGCACCACAATTTAAATTTCATTGCCCTTGAAGGATGAATCGGTCAAGGTTCCTGGCAGCTAGTGCCCATGGAACCATACCTCAGAAGAGGGGATCAAATCTTATTACCGGATGCTCGGATTTAAAATGTTAATTTATTATTTAGTAAATATATAAACATTTGCTGAATATCACATGCTTCTACTAAGCAGAGCTCAGTGTCTATCTTGAGTGGTTTGCAGAGAGTAAGCAGTGGATCTGTTGCTCTTGTCAAATGTCAGATGAAAATTCAGTGACTATTATTCTTTGGGATGGGGGATGTGGCGGGTTAACTAATAATAATAATCGTTGCATTTGATATAGCGCCGTATCACGTCTTCAAGACGTCTCAAAGCACTTCACAGAATATGAATGGACTGGGCTGTATCTTAAATGAGGTCTCCTTGGGGCTGAGCTGCCTCCTAGGTGATGTGCTTAGTCACAAAAAGTTGAAATTGATTCAACCCTCTGTGGCAGTCTCTGTTGTCCAATTCCACAGGTGAGTCCACAGTGCTCAAGGTACTTTTGATGAGCCAGCCAGCCTGGCCCCCACAATAATGCAGTTTTCCTAGGATTTGCATTAGAATTAGTTATAGTAATAAAATAATAATAATAATACTTGCATTTGATATAGGGCCTTATCACATCTTTCAAACGTCTCAAAGCACTTCACGGAATATGTAAAGTGAATTAACTGGATATTTTGTGGGCAAAACGCGGCAGCCAATTGCACACAAGCAGTGTCCCCAAACAGCCTTGGATTAAAGTGACCAATTTTTTTTTGAGGAATTATTATCGCTGATAGTGATCCATCAATCGACAAACAACTGAGTTCCTACTTACTGCTAAGTAAACAGAGGTGTGTGGAGTGAGGAAACTTGCCCCCAAAAATCTCTCACTTGTGTTGTGTGTCTTTGATGAGAGAGTAGCTGACCTGCCAATGGCTTTTTTGGCTGGCCACTCAGATGGTGCGCAGCAGGTCATAATGCTTAGGCTGGATTTCCTCATCTTATTTGTTTTTGTCTCACCCACCTGGATGTGCTACAGACTCCATTTATCAGATTGGGAGCTGAACAGAGTACAGCTTGTACTGTGATGCTGTTAGTAGTACTCCAGTGCTTAGCAGTATTGTACCATCTTGAGGTTTATGGAAGTTCATTTATTCTATATTTCATTTATTAGGAAACTCATTTCATTTATTTATTGCAACTGGAATTAACTTGTTATTCTGAATTTTTTTTGCAGTATTCCAAATACAGATCCCATACTATTATTTGAAAACAGAAGGGAATTTCTCTCAGTGTCCCGGCCAACAGTCCTCCAGATGAAATTTTTCATTCACTCGTAGATATTTGAGGGACTTTGCTGTACACAAATTGATTGCCGTGTTTGCCTACGAATACATAGTTACAACACTTATTTTTATACAGTAGAATCCTTTGAAGCACTTTGAGATGTTTCAATGACGTGATAACGCACTTTATTCAAATGCAAGGATTATTATATGGAATATTACAAAAGTATTAACTACTTGCGCTGCTGGCACATTCCGTTCCTGCTTTTTTTAAAAAATATTATTTGCATGACTACTGCCCTCCAACCTGATGCTTGGGATGTGTAGCTTGACTTGCACAGATGATTGGCAGTTAACTGAAAGGCAAAAAAAATCTTCCGACAGGTTTGTTATACAGCAGGTTATAAATGGTATAAATTTTCAATAAAAAAGGCTTTATTGAAGAGTGTAATAAAAGGCAAATAAAAAGGCAAATTAGCCCACATTTTGCTTCAGGGAGTGAATATACTGAACACTGCAACCATGGTCTTTGCAATGAATCAGATTACAGTTTTTGTCCCTAATGCTACATTGTTATTTAAAAGAGTGAGTTAAAACTCAAACCACTCCTCTCCTACCCATAATATCAGTGTTATCATGTGGACCCGAACTTCCATTAACTGATGTATCGTCAGTCGTCCCTCAATCTAAACAACTTCACAGAGAATTACCTACAAAACACACAGTCACTACATTTTGCAGTAATCTAATAATAATAATAATAATCCTTGCATTTGATATAGCACTTTTCACGTCTTCTCGACATCTCAAACGCTTCACAGAATAGATTGTAAAGTGAATTGACTGTATATTTGTGGGCGAAATGTGGCAGCCAATTGCACACAGCAGTATCCCACAAACAGTCGTGGATTGAAAATGATCAATTTATTATTGTTTTGTTTTGGAGGGACACTGTGTATATCCTGTGAGGCGCTTTGCAGCGTCCTCTCGCTGTAAAAGGCACTAAATCAAATGTAAATATTTAGATAATGAAGCTTAAAGTCTATCATTTAAGACTCATCTTGCTTTCAAATGTGCATTCAAAGCTTTTGAAATGTTAACAAGTATAACTGGGTTAAAAAGAAAGTAATATTAGTAGAATTTTTTTCAGATTTTTTTAAAAAAGGTCATAGTATAATAATTATTTTTGATGTTTTTCTTTTGAAACATTTTGTAAATTCAGTGTGCTTGGTCCAGTGTTGTTTCACTATCCACACTTCGTTTTTGCATTGGACAAATCGTATTGTGGATCCATCCACCCATCCCAGAGTAATCGGCAGTGCATGATTTGGGGCTGCTTTCCCCTGTAGGTTATTTCTCCACCCTCTCCATAATCATTTTATGCACATGCACAGCTATATGCATATACAAAGCACACACTCCATCTGGTGGCTGTTGTGTTATCCCATGTTATGACGATCTATATGACATACAGTGGTTTTGCTTCAAGTGATTTACTCCTGTGATGCACGTCAGTTCAAAGACGCAGTGTGAGTTTTTGTATGACACAACTGTATGGCTTTCCACATTCCGCAGTTCAAGCACTTTGATGGTTCACAGATGCCAAGCCCATGGATCTCTGTATTGTGTCAATGTTACAGTCATTGTCAGATTTCAGTCCTATGGAAAATCTCAATGCACAAACTGATTTTATTGCGTCCTTAAATAATCAACCATAATTGGAGGATCACTTTTCGGGGGTAATAATCCCTTCAAAAATAAAATAAATAACAATTTGGTCACTCAATCCACGACTATGTGTGGAACACTGCTGTCCGCAATTGGCTGCCGCATTTTGCCCAAAACATTTACAGCCACTACACTTTATAGTGTATCCCATGAAGGGCTTTGAGATATCCCGAAGACTTGAAAAGGCACTGTATCAAATGCAAGGATTATTATTATTATAATCCATCGACACACTGAAAAGGTGACTGGATCATTCAGTGGCACCATTCACATGTGATTTAGCAGACTGCTTTCATCGCACACTGAACACGGTCCTCTTCAGCGTGATACTGGAATTTTTAAATCAAGATTACCTTCTGTCTGTTTTTTACAAAAAAATCTTACCACGCAGACAGCTACTGAAAATATTTAATTCAGTACTGACAGATTTGTAATTGTAGACTTTGTGTGCAGCGAGATACTTAAAACTTTGTGAAGCTGTCCAATCCAAATACTGTCAATAGGATTTTTGATCAGCTTTTTCTCACTAATAATGTACATGTGGATAGCATATATTAGACGTAGGTCAATGTAAATAGATAATTCAGTGGTATCAGCTGGAGTTGGAGAAATACCAAGTAACTGGGCTCTCAATGTGACAGCTTGCACCAACTGGATTCAGATATCCCATAAAAATAAATATGATATAGCTCTGAACTATAATTTACAACTAGGCTGAAATTGTATCTTTCATTCACATCATTCCTATGAAAGCATGTTTATCATGTATAACATGCGACTGTTTTATTCTGTTTATTTGGAGGCTTGGGTTTTGGCAGATGATGGTACTTTACAAATAGCAGATGAATGACATACAAACTTGAGGTTGAAATGTGATGTGATCACTGTACGATTATCAAGTGGTAAAGCAGTGGCCCTTTGGCATTTTGGGGGCATTAAGAAGTGGCCCGTTGAACACCTGCACCAGGCCAGGCAAGTCCGTGCCAAATCAATCCCTTTCCAGTAGCTGCCGAATTGCGATACCCTCGGAGTGACCGTAAATGAAAAAAAACTCAATAAAGAACTAGTGATTTGGTTGGCCACACTGTACTAGAGGCCATAGATACAGGATAGTCACAAGAAGAGTGAAGCGGCTAAGGCAAATTGTTTTCACTCAGAGAATTGTTGGGATATGGAATGCCCTGCCTTTTTGAAACCCACCAATCCATGGGTGGTTTCAAAAGAAAAGTAGACAGGATAGTGGCTATGAAGGGGCATAAGTATAGGCAATGGGTCTGAATGAACACCTTGCTCTGAGAGCCAGTACAGACTCAATGGGCCAAATGGTCTCCTTCTGTGCTGTAAATTTCTATGATTCTTTGATGATCTGGGTACCAAAATCTACTTAAGCTCCTACTTTTTGTCTGCAATATTTTGTGTGTTCGAATGGCCTGCTGACACTTACTGTCTTTGCTCAAATATGTGAATAATGATTAGTTGAAATGCAGAATGGTGAATGCTCATGGAACTGGACCCCCCAGGGGGAAGGGAAAATGAGTTGAAATGCCAAAACTGGAGAAAGAAAATTAATTGGTTTAGAAAATTGACAATGAAATAAATTGTTAATTTTTTTCAGTTAGTCCATAGGAGCAATGTTTTTTCAATCCTCTTGACAGAAAAGTTTTTTTTGATTATAATGCTGCCAGACTTTTTCAGAAAGGGAGAATATAATATTTATGTACCAAAGTGGGTCAGACGTTCCTGGTGAGAATCCTGATTTTTCTAATGTCTCTCCACTCCACAGAGAATTCGTCTGATGCAGATTTGTGGCTGTTGAACAGTTGTACCGTGAAGAATCCAGCTGAAGACCACTTTAGAAACTCGATTCAGTAAGTGTACAATAATGGGGGAAAGGGGGATAAAGTAATTGACTTTGAAAGATATTGATATTTTGTGAGACTGATCAGTACCTCATACATATTAAGCACTGTAATTTTAATGTTAATTAAAACTTGACAAAATAGACTCGATGTAGCAGGTAATGAAATTTCAGACAGGCACCCAATCTTTTGCTGTACTGCACGAATAAAACTCAGTACACACATCTTAGAACAAAAGTACTGTAAATGAACATCATTTTATTTCTGTCTGATCAGTACAAACCAGCTGACAAGATTTAGTAAATTATAAGTGCAAACGTGTAAGAGTTCTGAAAAAGTATTCATTTTTATATTATGAAATCTGATTGTGTTTGTGTATAAATATTTTTGGGCTTGGGAAGATATTCTACATTATTTATGTGTTTTTTGGACTTCTATCGCACTTTATATCTACCCTAAGAACTATCTTTTTGCTTTTGGTCACCTTTCCCCCCCATCTTGCAAAAGCTTGGGTGCCTCGGCAGCTGTGTAAAGTGAGATGTTCTCCTGAAGTGAAAGGTACAATATGAATGTAAATTGCTGCTGTTTCTGACCTTAGTCTGATAATATAGCATTGGGTTTCAGTAAAATTCTTTGTACTGGTGGTAATGTGTCAGGCTGGCTCAGTGGTAGCACACTAGCCCTTGAGTCAGAAGGTTTAGGGTTCAAGCCCCATGACGGGACTTGGAATCACATAAGCTGACACTCCGTGCAGTGTGCTACATTGTCAGAGGTGCCGTCCTTTGGATGAGACATTAAACCGAGGTCGCATCTGCTTCTTCAGTTATACTTTATGAAGACCCATTGTATGATTTGAAAAGAGAAGGGAATTTCTCCTGATGTCCTGGCCAACAAATCCCCCAAATAAAATTGGTCACCATTCTATGGCTGTTTATGGGACATTGCTGTGAGCAACTGGCTGTTGCGTTTTGCCAGCAAAATATACAGTCAAAAACACTTCACAGTGTATCCTGTGAAGCGCTTTGAGATGTCTCAACAACACGATAAGACATTATATCAAATTCAAGGATTATTATATTGTACTGGTGGTAATATTTTACTATTACTTTGGATTGGACACGAGTTATAAAAATGGATTGCCAAGGATCGTTCTCCATCAGACTGGTAGTATTTTATTTGAATATCTCAGAACAGATAAGTTGTACAGTGTCTAAAGCTCCACTTCCATTTATACCTGGAGTGACTTAGCTGGAGCTCACTAGAATTGATTTTAAAAGTGCTTTTGTTTACAGTGGGACTGTTCAGAGTTCAGTTAATGGACTGAACATAACTGTCATGACAAGTATTGTAAGTGGGACCCCATTGTGTAGCAGTGGGTGTCACTAATGTGAATAAGATTCACTAAAGAGTGTTGCAATCCCTTGCAACATATACGTTACACTTGCTTGTTGTCCACATCCCTGTCCTCGCAGGGCTCCCCCGGCTTTCAGTACATCAGTAAATATTCCAATTTTGGGATATTTCTTGTTCCTTCTCCCTCCATTCCACCATTGGTGGCCAAGACTTCAGACTCTTTGCCCTCTGAACCTCTCTTCCTCACTCCCCCCCCCCTCCCCCAATCTCTCTTTCTCTGCCTTCAAAATCCTCCTCAAATGTATTTTTGACCATTCCTTTTGTAAATATCCTTCACTCCTTGTTGTCACTGCTCTGAGCTTCGTATCATTTTTGTTATGTGCTTTTGAGAAATTCAATTTATATGTAGTGTAAGTAAATTTAAGTTGTTGCTGATCAATACCTAATTTGTGAATTTATGGAATTCTCTACCCCAAAGGGCTGTAGATGCTCAGTCCTTGAACATATTCAAGACTGAAATTGACAGATTTCTTGTGGATAAAGGGATTAAGGGATATGGGGATAAGGCTGGTTGGTGGAGTTAGAATAGATCAGCCATGATCTTATTGAATGGCGGGGCAGGCTAGAGGGGCCGAATGGCCTACTCCTGCTCCTAATTCTTATGTTCTTATGTTCTTATATGTTCTAAAACAGGTGGAGTATGAGGATTTGAGTTCTTTTGATTAACAACATGTCCGGTTGGCTGCCAATGTATTCTGCTTTTTTTTAATACAATACTCATTTAGTTGACATGTAGGTTGGTGATAATTGCTGCATACAGTTTGATTTTGTATTTGTGTGTGTGTGTAGTGGGAAGTGGAGGGAAAATAATGGGCTATTGCTCTCTGAATGTTATCCATATCTTTTTAATTAGGGCCTTATTCAAACTTTATAACAATTTATTTTCAATTTGAAACCTACATATTCATTTTATTTTGGAACAGTGTGGCTTCTCTGAATAACATGGGTCAACTTTCCAAATAGGTAACGCCATATACCTGCCCCAAAAAGAATTCACAGTGGAATGTCCAACATGATGTGCACATAATAAGGTGCCTCTCTCCCATTCGATCCTTTTAACACTTTTTTTCCTGCTGGCTACAGTTTGCTACACTGTCCTTTTGCTTCACAGTTTAAAATGCCCTTCCTTCTGTTTTAAGTTTTAATTAACATTTAATTTGCATGAATGTAGCCTAAGGCAAAAACTGGATTTTTGTTTGAAGATCCTTGTACTTAATGTATCAACGTAGCTCTAGGTGTTTTTGAAGTTATAAGGAAGCCAAAGGATATTGTGAAGGACAAGTCAGATTCAAAGACTATGTTATTTAGAATCAGATTCAATGGCACTGTAATCAGTTAATATCACAGAGAAGGTGGTACTGAAAATCCACCGGAGCTATCTCTGTGGTTGCACTGTGTTACTATGTGAACTCTGCCGCAGATCAATAGCAGCCAGTTTTCTAATTTCCACTTGTTCTGTTGAAAGACCAAAGATGCAAATAACCACTGTCTGGTTATGAAGAAACATACAGGGAAACAATTGGGACTGGAATAAACCCTTTTGTATATTTTCTGGTTCTTCACAGTGAGGGAATTCCAGTCATGCTAGTGCCTTGGCAAGTCCTCCCGAAGTGAAAGGCACTATGCAAATGTAATTTGTTGTTGTTTTTGCAAGCAAATGCAATATTTCTGCAAAACAGTGTATGTCATATTATTTGCGAATCAAATTGTTCAGTTTTAAATTGAAATTATAATTGTGTGTTTCTTTTTTATGATTCACCATGCGAGAATGATCAATGAAACACTTTATTAAATTTTTGGTGTCTTAGAACAACAATACTAATCATTGCATTGATATAGTACTTTTCATGTTGGGAAGACGTTTCAAATTGCTTCATAGGATATACTGTGAATGTGTTTATTTTATAGGAAACGCCTACATTAATATGCAAATGACTTCCAATTGATGCCAAATTATGGGCAGTTTTATGTCATAGTCTGACTTCCATTGCAAATGACATTAATCTTTCAGTCATCAGATACAGCATGTGCTAGACGCAGAGTAAAGCTTCCTCCAGTCTCCTTGAACAATGTGCTTTAACCAGAACCTCAGTAGTGGGCTCTATGCTGTACCAGTCATTTATTTTATTTTTCCTTATCAGCACTGAGGGAGATTTCCAACTGATTCTAAATTATGGACAGTTTTGTGTCGATCCAGTTGGATTTTTTTCTCTTTCCAAAACGGGGTCTCCTTGGGACTGAGCTGGCTCCAAGGTACTGTAGTTAGTGCTGGCAGCATAGATGCACTCTACACCTCACTGAGCCAGTACGGAACCTTGGCATCTTGTTTAACCCTCAACTATCCTTCCCCACATTTGTGCCATGACCATGTTCTACCTTCCCCCACTTCCACAACATCGTCCAGCTCCGTCACTGCCTCTCCCCTCAGGCTGCTGAGACCCTCATCCATGCATCCAAGCTCGATTATTATTATTATTATTATGCTAATTCCCTGTTTGTCGATCTTCCCAACTCTTCCCTCCACAAGCTGCAGATCATTCAGAACTCTGGTGTTTATGTTCTCTCACGCACCAGGCTCCAAGAACCTATCACTCCCACCCTCGCCTGGTTCTACTGGCTCCCTATCCCCCAGAGGATAGAGTTCAAAATTCTCGTACTCACTTTCAAAGCCCTTCACAACCTTGCCCCTCCCTACCTCTGTAACCTGCCAACTCTTTACCAACCTCTCCGCTCAACAGGCTTCGGCCTGCTCCACGTCCCCCGTCCTACCCGCCCCACCATTGGCAGTCGGTGCTTCAGCCTTTCTACCCCCACCCTTTGGAACTCCATCCCACATTCCCTTCGCCTCCTTCAAGGCCTGTCTCAATACCTTTCTCTTCAAATGTGCTTTGGTTATCGTCCTCGCCCTACCCTCCCTGCTCTCTATCCCACCTGATCCCAACCCACAGCTCGGGTGCAAATCCTTGACTGTCCAGCCTTGGGACGTCCTCCTGACGTGAAAGGCACCATACAAATGAAATTTGTTGTTGTTGTTGATAAAATGTCAGAATCGAGTCAACTGTCTGTGGCAATCTCAGGTTTGTTCCTGAGCCAGGTGGGTACACATGGAGACTGGAGGCACATATTCTTCCCACTTGGCTCCTGTTAAAACTTCAACCCAAAGCCCAAATGAGTAGGGTGGGCCTAGCTGGACAAGCAGCGTAAAGCTTACCATTAAGTGCTCTCAAAAGCAAGCTATGTGGTTCAGCGGTTAAACTCAAGCAATAACCTAACGCACATTCTTGGCAACCTGTGCTTAATATTCTCTGGAATTAGGTTAGTATGGTGTATCCCTCCAGAAGGAGAGTATACAATCTTTACCAGACACGGGGAAATGGAACATTTGATTCCACTTTTAGTTTCTCTCATAATGAAGTGTATTCTCTCATAATGAAGTTTCTGAGATCAGAAACTCAGTGGAACAGAGTTCCTGAACCTGCATTTTCGAACAGTAATAAATTTGTGCCCCCCCCCCGCCCCCCAGTCAACAGAAAATCTCACAAGAAATTCTTGGACTTTAAGATTTGGGCGGAACCATACTCTGTTGTCTACAGGGA